CTTGGCCTTCTGCAGGAGGATGGACACGTAACGCGCAAGTGATAGCCCAACAAAAGCTGCAGCTATGACCCTCTGTCCAAACAGTATCTAGCACCTGCTTACCAAAGACAGTCATGTGACACAAAGTAAAGAGGAAAGTGATTTATTAAAGCTCGCTTAATGAACATAAAAAAACAAAATCAAACATGGATGCCCCTTACCATCTTGGCTGTCAGGAAAAGGCTTCTTTAAACTGTGACTCATTAAAATCCTCTAACTGTCCGTTAAACATTACAAGGACTCAGCTGCACAGCTTAACTGTTAACTGTCCATTTGCTGTAATCAGCTGGAGAATCTGTGGTGACAATGAAATAACACTAAAGCAGTGAAGTCTAAAAGGTCGTTCAAAAGGTCACAAAGTCCAGTGAAGCACTGAGTTTTTCAGTCATCGTCGTCTGTGTTGTTAATGTCGTCTTGTATGTGCAAGTTGGATATTATCTTCTATTACGGATCGCGTGAGGCGCAGAAATCCTGTCTGTAATCAATTCCAAAATGGCCTTGAATCTTTTTCGCTCCGGTGCAGCACGCGCGTGTCGTGCACCGAGGGGTTTTTGATAAGGTGCTTTGTATAAAAGTGACAATAACGTTTATTACAGATGTTGTGTATATCTTTGATATTCTAATGTTTATCCTATTTTGTGAAGAGAGTACATTTAGGAGAAATCCAAAAGCTAGTAATGTGTGTCTATTGGTACTGCACAGGGTCTGATCTTTGCTTTGTAACTTTCTCCCCCCTCATGGCTAAAGGTATGTTAGATATTTTCTAGCTTTGTAGAGACTTTGTACGCATATGCTATTCAGTTTAAATAAATGGTCAGTTCTAAACTGTGCTCGTGGGTTTTGTCTTTTCTCATTAGTCTCATCTCTGAACTTGCTGTTATTGTTGTCATGAATTAATTTAGCTTGAATGCATTCACATGATACATGCAGAATTCTTCTAGATAGATTTTCCAATTAGTTTTATTGTCATTTCATTTTAAGTATTTATGGTAATGGTAATTGGACTGATTCTTATATAGCGCTTGTCTACTCTCACGGAGTACTCAAAGCGCTCTATACAACATGCCTCATTCTCACAAGCACTTAATCTACACTTAGTGCTTTCTAACGACATTCATACACATTCATACTCCGATGGATGCATCAGAGAGCAAGTTGGGGTTAGTATCTTGCCCAAGGATACTTGACATGCAGACTGGTGGAGCCAGGGATTGAACCACCGACCTTCTGATCAGTAGGTGCCCTGCACCCGAAACTTGAATATTTATAGGAAATAACACAGGTCTACCAAGCAGACGAAGCTTTGCCAACAGTGGTGACTGCAATATTTAAAGCTTAACCCCTTTTTGTAACCTTTCGATAAAATTCAGGATTGAGGTTAATCAATTCGTTGTTATAAGTTGACTCTGTCATGAGACCTCCCACAGCATTAAGAGACACACGGTGTTTTTTAGGAATTTGCTTTCAAAGAAGCTTTGATATATTAAAAGAAACCAACTAAACCCTCCCATATATAAAAATGTGAAACTCTACTGTAAAATATGCTGTATGTTTACAGCCCGGTGCAGAAAACTGTTCTCAGGAACTAATTTCCCTTTAGCAGTTCGAGCCAATGAACTAGACGTCTTGACCATGTAAAGCCTTTTTGGTTAATTGCATCAAGAATCCATTCAGGAAGATTTTTATTCCAGTTTTTGTGTTTACCACACCGACTGACTATGAACTATGAACTCAAGAATTGTTCACACATATGTGTGAAGCTCAAACTGTATCGATGCATAGCTCACACGCAAACGCACAAAACATGCAAATCAAACCTGAACCATCTATAGTTTGAATAGGCTAAGAAAGTAACTGTATAGTATGCTTATTATACTTGAGCAGTGTTTTCAAGTACTTGTACTCTGTTTAATTATTGCCATTATTTTTAGCTGCCATGTCAGCTCAAAACAAAACTGAAGAACAACTAATATATGTTGAAACCTTTTTGTTGTTCTTCACATTAAAGTTAGAACTTCCTTGTATTCAAATATCAGCACTAATCCCTGTGCTCATTAAAAGAACAGATACACACAATGAATTTCAAGTAATGTGCTTCAAGTGATTGTTGCTGTAAAGATTTCATTGGGTTTTTGTTCCTGTTGTACAGATCAATGGAGGACATATGGATTAAGTAACCGCACATGGCAGCAAGTGTGATATGATTGTAGCAACGCATTACCTCCACCAATGTTTAAGACTTTAGGATCAGTCTTTGGCACTGACAATTTTTATTCACATAGTGAAGAGGTTATAAGATGCTACATCTTAGAGATCTATCATGACCTCTTAATTTCTGTGCCCCTTGCTAATGGTCAGTACATTTTCTCTAGCTGTATATGATTAACAGTCAATGACGCAGCCAATCAGAATCGCATAACAAAACATAAAACAGTCCTGCATCTGGACCCACAATTCCAGATGTAACTGAGACAGAGTGAACGTCAGCCATGCAGTTTCCCTTAAAAGCACCAGAGGGAGCTCTACTCAAAGAAATGCATCCAAAGCGCCACTGAAACTGCATTTGCTCTGTCACTTCACTTTTAAGAATTTGTTAGAAAAAAATGCATAAAGATCTTTGATTGTTTACGTTATTAAGACAATGATTCATTTGTTTTAAAACTATAAAAAGTGTGTATTTAACTGAGGCTTTATCCATAACTGAGCTCAACTACAACATTTTATTTTTCATCAACAGTGAACGTGACGTTTTGGGAAATAAAATGTTTTTCATGCTACAGCTGGCTTTGTGGGCATATTTGTTGTGGTGAGACTGGAAACTAAACGTCTGGCAGCCAATAACAAGTCTGCAGGTCCCACAGACACAGACACAGACACAGTGACCTCACAGGAAACAAGATCCAAGATAAGAAAAACATTCCGCGTTGTCGTGCATCCCAGACGCAGAGCCCACAGTCCTCTTAATCCAAATCTAGTGTTCGCAACGCATGCCCAGAACGTATGTAAACATGGTTCTGTATCCAGTAAGTGCGCACACTCACATGCCTTAACGCGTGTGCGTGTGTTCATGTTCCCAGATGGTTTCCTAAGCAGTTATTTTACCAACAAACCCGGCTTGATGTATCACTCCTGACAGTGCTCAAACAGACTAATGGTGCCTGCTGGGGATCAACGCTTGCCATCGATGCAATATGTTCACTACCACACACACCAAAACACTCTTAATGCACATAAATCCTTTTACGAGTTCGGTCGACCATATTCTGTCCTGAAATAGTTGAAAGAGCCGATTATGGGATCAGACGCTATATGAGGACCCTGCGGGGTGTAATAGATGGATTTCCTTCCGCTTTTTACCCAATCCAGCTGAGCTCTAAAACATTCGGCTCTGTGGAGATTATGAAGATGAAACTGAGTAACAATACATACTGCAGTCTTAACACTGCTGAGTAAGAGCTTCATCAGCGGTTTAGCTCGGTCCGAGTGCCTCTCTGCTCGTAACCTCAACTCTAGCTCTCTCTGTCTTGTGCGGGACACAGTAAGCAAAGCCAAAAGACTGAAGGTTCTGCTCTGTGCTTACCTTGAGATTGTACTAACCTAATGAGGCAGACAAAACATAAAAAATCTCATAGCAGCAAACAAAAGAGAAAAAAAAGTAATAACATGAAATTCCACCTCGCCAGAAATTATAATGACAAGTCTTGCAGTTACCCTGAAATAAAATTAATAACCCAAACATTAAATGTGTGGACGGTCACGAGCCAGTTTGCATTTCTGAGCAAATGCACAAACTGCAAACTGGTATCTCGCTCAGTCAGCCAGAGGAAGAGAAAGTGAGAGGAGCTGGTGGGGCTGCTGGATAATCTCCTGAGCTCAACCTGCACAGGTGTGCTGCATGGCTGAGCAGGTCAGCTCCACCCACCCACCACGAAGAAAGAGAAGACAAGAGGCCCACTCTGTGCCGCCCTCCCACTCCTGTGAGACATAAATTGAGCACATCTGTCTATTTGCATTGTGAAGAAACTGGACAATATGGAATTATGTTAAAATATTTTGCATGTGCCTGACCTGACATCCCCTTCCAAACACTTCAGCGTCTGTGAACAGATTCACAGTGAAAAGTGAAGAAGACTGCATAAATCATGAAAGGCCATTAAAGATGCAGATGATCAGGAACTAATCTGACGTGTTTCTCGTCAGCTGTAGTTAAGACTTTGAAATATTATAGCGCAACCACAGCTTTTTCACCGCTTTTTGCTGACCTGGGAGATGACGGTTCTATTTCCAACCGACCAGACTGATCTCAAGAATAAAATCTGTGACATTAATAAAAATACTACAGAGCTCTAAGCAAACGTGGATAACAGCGCTGACTTTTAACCGTGTAAACACACCGGCCCATAGATTATTAAGTCACGCACGGAATTAGTTTGATAAGTGTGTTTCAGACAGTTATCAGAAGGGAACTTTGTCTTAACCCTCAGTACCGACTTTCTACTTAACAAAGGCTGACATATCAGTCCAGATTACCTTTGTTATCAAGAGTGAGAAAGTGTGTGTGTGTGTGTGTGTGTGTGTAAGTGAGAGAGAGGGGGCGAGAGAGAGAGAGGAGGCAGGAGGCGTGTCCCAGCGTTACAGCACCCTCCTGTTTTGTCCTACACACCAGAGCAGCTTGCCCTGACGCAAGGACGCACTCCTCATCTCCTCTCCGGAGCAGCGCGCAGGGCTCAGATCGATATGCCGGGGAGAGAGCCATGAGGTCCCAGCAGACTGCCCCAAAACAGACCACGGAGGTAAATAAATATATGTGATTTTTTTTTCTTTTTAGAAATAAGGCAGATATTTTTAAGTGTAATGAGGTTACATGTCCGGACTTCTGAGCGCATTTAAAGTGAGAGCTGACACAGACGAGTGCGCAGAGAATTCCTGATGAATGTTTTGCATCATTAGTAAAAATATTTTTGTCTCCTTTATTTTTTGAGTTGCAGCAGACGAAGGCAGCAGAGAGGATTCAGTGAGGGAACTTTTTTTTTCTTCTTTCTTGGAGTTCAGCCGGAGATGGAGCCGGAGGAGGGAAAGATCTCGGTATGGGTCTGCCGGGAGGAGAAGCTGGTCTCTGGGCTGACGAAGCGAACCACCTGCGCCGACGTGGTCAAAGTCCTGCTTGAAGATCAGAACCTGCAGCAGGGCGCCTCGGCAGCGATGCTGTCTGGCTCTCCTCAGTCCTACTGCGTGGTGGAGAAATGGAGAGGCTTCGAGAGGATTTTACCCAACAAGACCAAAATCCTTCGGCTGTGGAGCGCCTGGGGAGACGAGCAAGAGAATGTTCGCTTTGTCCTGGTGAAAAACGAGGCTTCGCTGCCCAACAACGGGCCCCGCAGCGCCGAGGCCCGAGTCGTCCAGAGCCGGGAGAGTGGTGGTCCGGGCGGCTTGCTCAAGGGTACCGCCCGGACCTGCTGGACCGCCGCGGCCGCCGCGGCCAACCTGTCCCAGGAGAAACAGCGGCGCATCGTCAGGAAGGCCTTCAGAAAGTTGGACAAAATGAACAAAAAGAAGGAGCAGACTGTTTCTAAAGATAAAAGCTCGGTGGAAAAGATGGAGACGTTGGTCCACTTGGTGATTTCTCAGGACCACACCATCCGCCAGCAGAT